CATATCTCAGAATCCCTTGGACCGATTCCATTCATTCTTTGCATGTGGCTAGCACTTTATGTGGGACATGTGCACATGCAGTGGTTTAGCGATTCGATTCAAAATGGCTGACTGGCAGCCATCTTGTTTTTTAAAAATGTTGTATTTTGGACATGCTTTGTCAGTTTTCATTCAAACTTGGTACATAGATCATACATGTTAGGATACATGTCCCTGACCGTCCGTGAGTTCCTGAGTCTGTCCATCCGTCCATGTGTCCGTCCGTGCGTCAGTCTGTCCAGTCATATTTCAGAATCCTGTGGACCGATTCCGTTCATTCTTTGCATGTGCCTAGTACCTTATTTGGGACATATGCACACACAGTGGTTTAGTGATTCGATTCAAAATGGCCGATTGGCAGCCATCTTTTTTTTTTAAATGTTGTATTTTGGACATGCTTTGTCAGTTGTCATTCAAACTTGGTACATAGATTATACATGTTAGGATACATGTCCATGACGATTTATTTCGCAATTGGATAAAAGATGGTCGACTGGCAGGCATCTTGTTTTTTTTATGCGGTATCTTGGATGTGCTCTGTCAGTTTTCTTTCAAATTTGGCACATACATGTACTTTATACATGTTAGAATGTATGTCCATGACAATTTGTTTCATAATCAGATCAAAGATGGCCGAATAATGGCTGTTTTTATTTTTGGCCATATTACTACTACACGGAACACGTGTTTTGATGTAAATAAACAATCTGTTGTATACGCCACTTGGAACTAAGTTTCAAGGACACGCTCACGACAACCCCTCCGCTTTAATATGACGAGCACAAAGAGAACTTTCAAAAATTTAACGGGAACTGTGTCATTTTCAATGACTTGTTTGTGGTGTTTTACATACAACATTACAAGTTTATTATATACCATTATATTAATCCAGCAAATATGCATAAACTGCATAGAAAGATTCAGCAATCGGTGTATGGATCTGGATCTTGATTGATGCAGCAATCGCTGTATGGATCTAGTTCTGGAATGCTCCTGCAATTGTTGAATATATCTAGATCTGGAATTCTCTAGCTATTGTTGTATGGATCTAGATGTGGATTGCTCTAGCAATTGTTGTGTGGATCTAGATCTGGAATTATCTAGCAATCACTGTATAGATCTGGAATGCTCCAGCAATTGTTGTATGGATCTAGATCTGAAATGCTCCAGCAATTACTGTATGGATCTGGAATGTTCAGAAATCGCTGTAGTGATCTAGATCTTCAACAGTTTGGAGACTGGAACTAGATCAATATAATGATTACAGCCATTCTGAGAAATGTTTTGACAATCAGTAAGCAACTTGGCAAAACACTTTAGACTTGGCGGTCCCGTAAGATTGACACACACACACACAGCACAACACAGATCATTCCATTTTCATACTAGATGAGGGTAAAGCCCATTGTTTTCAAAATGATGGAGGGATTGTAGATGCAACTAACACAATTAAGAAAAACACTGAAATTTTTATTTAAATGAGGAATTTTCAGTATGAAATATGCCGTTTCCATTGGTGATAATCTAGAACCCGACATTTGAAAGTTTTTATTTTTATTTTAATAAAGAAAATAATATCCCAGGCAGCAGATGGAAATGAAAAAAAAAATGTTTTTTTCCTGGACTTTGTTATGTTAATTCATAAACTGATTTATTAAACTTGTTATAGTTAAAAAAAACACCAAAAATATAGGATTTAGGAAACCATAA